TTCGGGTTTTGTCTCGCCATCTGTAAAGTGGGGATGGACTGAGTGATTTCTAAAATTCTCTCCTGATTGGCATCCCTGACCGCTCAGAACAGAGCTCACATCCCTTCTTGGGCAGGGCAGCAGCTGCAGCCACAGCATCACACAGCTGCCACTGTGGGTTCTGGGAGCGGAGCAAGGCTGTGTGAGGGGCGGGGTGCCAAGGATGGAGCTGGCACTGAACAGTAGCGCCAACAGCTCCAGACCGACTCTGGGCCCAGGGCCCAGCCAGAATTTGTTCTGTTCCTGTAGAATTCTCTAGATTCCATAGTTGGAATTTCCTCTTCTCGCTGAGTGGAAAATAAAAATTCCAAATGGCATGACTCTTCCCACGTCCTGCTGACTTGGAGTTCGCAGGCCTCACGCCTGCCCTTGGAGGGGCATCCTCTATCGCTTCACCCCAGCTTCAGAGGGCTCTTGGAGAGGAACGAGAAAAGGAGGCTTCTGTGGGACTGTTTAGTGTCAGCCTCGACAAGAGGCCCTCTCAGGGCCACATGTGGGGGTGGGGGCTTCACTGAGGGAGCAGACGCACTGTGGGCCTGACGAAGTAAGTCTGAGCACCAAGAGTTAGAGGAGGGCGTGGCAGCCAGCTGGATGGAGAGGTGCATGGGAAGGTGGGACATCTGTCCTGTTGTGTCCCCTCACCTAAGAGATGGAGAATGAAACCCAAAGAGAGGGTCACCATGCTCCAGCCTGGCTCTGCTGTGTGTCCCCAAGTAGGTTCTTTACTTCTCTGAGCCTGTGTTGCTCCTAGGAAATGAAGAGTTCTCTCCCCCCAAAATAATATGTGTTTCAAAGAGTAGCCATTTGTTTTCTTTTATTATTGGTAGTGCTGGGGACCCAGGGCCTCATACACTGCATACTAAGGCAAGTATTCTACAACTGAGCTACACCCACTCCCTTAAGAATAAGAATGCCCTCTATCAGTCCTAGTAATACTTTTTGTTTTGAGACAGGGTTTCTCTGTGTATCTTTGGCTGTCCTGGAACTCACTCTGTAGACCAGGCTGGCCTTGAACTCAGAGATCTGCTTGTCTCTACCTCCTGAGTATTGGGGTTAAAGGCATGCACCACCACACCCAGCTGTGGTAACACTCTTTAAAATAACAGGTGGAGGCACCACCAGCACTGAAAGCCACTGGCAAAGGCAGCATTAGGCCCTGGCAGCTGGTGGGGAGGTGCCCTGAGGCTGGAAGCTGGTGCTCTCAAAGAGTTTTGTGTTTAGGTAGTGAATTATTGTTTCTCTCTCTCTTTGTTGGTCATTGGTTGGTATTAATGTTATTTTGCTCTATTTGAGACAGTCTCATGTAGCTCAGGCCGGCCTCAAACTTCTACATAGGCACGGATGATCTTGGACCTCTGATCATCTTGCCACCACTTCCTGAGTGCCTTGATTATAGGAACAGGTCAACACACCCAGTTTAGGCTGTGCTTGGAATCTAACCAAGGACTTTATGCATGTTAGGCAAGCACTTTTACCAACTGGGCCGCATCGCCTCACTTTCTGTGTTTGGTAGTTTTTAAATTTTAACTTTATTGTTTTGTATGTATGAATGTTTGCATGTATGTATGTGTACCATGGGTGTGCCTGGTGACCAAGGAGGCCAGAAGCCAAGGAGGCCAGAAGAGGGCATCAGATACTCCTGGAGCTGGAGCAGCTACAGATGGCTTTGAGTTGCCATGGGGTAGGTGCTGGGAATTGAATGTGTGTCTGGAAGGGCAACCAGTGCTCTTAACCACTGAGCATCTCTCCAGCCCCTTTGTATCTGAGAGGGGATCACTATTTAGCCCAGACCAGTCTGGAACTTTGCTCTCCTGATCTAGCCTCCCAAGTGCTAGGATTACATTAGTAGCAACACCATGTATGACTTTAGTGAAGAATCAAGAGAAAAATGTTTTTCTTCCATGAAGACTCCAAATGTCATCACACTCTCTGGTGGCTGGCAGGCGGGGTAGGGGATTGGTGTTCTGGAAGTTCCAAATAGCTGCCCCAGTGGGTTATCCCAAGGGCTTGCCAGGCAGAAGGAAAGTGCTACAGGCACCTGGGACCTCCTGGCCTCTGCGCTGAAGGGCTAGCCTGTGGGGAAGCCATCACTATTACAGGCAGGAATTAAACAGTTGGTTTTCAAGGGCAAAGTTCCTGTAAAATAAGAACAAGGAAGAGTAGGTAATGCTGAGGTGGAAGAGCTGAGAGAAAGGGAGGAAAAATCAAGGGGGTGAGGACAGAAGGGATCTACATCCTGATAATAAGAGAGGGGAACAGCCTAGGGAGGCACCTGAGTCTCTCAGATGCCCCTGGTCCACCCCGGGGGAAGGGCTTAGCAGCCACTGGACAAAACCCTCTTCTGACCTTCCCAGAGGAGCCCCAAGCTGGGGGTGGGGAGAGCATGGGCTGCCTCAGCAGCAGCAACAGCAGGGTTCACGTCAGCCCTCCACCCTCAGGGGCCTTCTGCCTAATGGGATTGGACAGCCCCTTCCCCCTCAGTGCTTTGCTGGCTGAGAAAGAGGCCAGCACGGCAGGTCAGGTGGTAGGGGTGCTTGGGGACACTCACTGAACCCTGTCAAAGCAGGGCTGTTTGGTGCCTGAGGTCAGGAAGTGGGAGGGGACTCTGCCTCTCACTGACTCCCTGCTCATGTCCCAGGAACTCCATGAGACCCTGACCTGGTGTTGTGTCCCCAGAATGGAGCAGAGGAGGTTCTAGGGCAGAGGAACCAGCCTGAAGCTCAGGCAAAGATGGCTAAGGTGGGCAGGCTGAGCCCCACCCCCATCTCTGTCAGCTGTGCTACTGAAGTTTTCTGTCCTTCCACATAGTCATTCTTGGCTCCATGCCCTCCACAGGAGAGGCTAACCTAGCCAAGCTGGAACTGTCTTCAGCACAGGCCCTGGATGGAACTGCACAAGCTCCTCTTCTCCCATTCTGTTTCCACTCTTTTTTTGAGACAGGGTTTCTCTGTGTAGCTTTGGAGCCTGTCCTAGAACTCACTCTGTAGCCCAGACTGGCCTTGAACTCACAGAGATCTGCCTGCCTCTGCCTCCCAAGTGTACGCCACCACTGCCTGGATCCACTCTTATTTTATATAGTCACATGCTCCAGGACTGGCCCACCCATCTGATAGGAAGTGAAGACCACAAAGGAAGCCATTTGCCTCCAACATTTCCTTTGCAACAAAGCCTAACCACCTCCTCCCCAAACAGGCCATGATGCCTCAAGCCTTCTCTTTCCCTCCCATCTCTCTGCTCTTTCTCGCTTCCTCTTTTCTTCTTTCCCTTGCAGGACACAGGAAATATCCAGAGTTGATGAAAAAAAGAATCTTTCTGGGCCCAATTTTTCTTACTCCCTAACTCCTACCCTGAGCTACTGTAGATTTCTTAAGGAAAATGAGAACTCCCCCAAATGGGGAGGGATTCTGCGGGAAGTATATCCCAGGACACCTCCTAGCCCACTGCATACACATCAAGGTCTCTGCCTCCACAACACACAGGATTCCGGAGAAATTAGTGACACCTCTGGACCCTACAGTCCACGTCTCCTACCTCCCATGCACCCAGGCAGTTCAGGCCCAGTTCCCAGCGGGAAGAGGAGTGCAGAAATAACAAGTGGCTTTCTAAGGCCAGCTGTTTCCCAAGGCTGGGGTGGGGAGGGTGGCCAGGCTTTGGAATGTGCAGGATCTCCCTTTCTCCCAACCACCAGATGGTCCCTCCTCAGACACTGGAAGCCCTAGGCAGGCACTAGGGACATCTGGGGCATAGTCACTTGTCCAGCTGAGCTCCTGACAGTGCCTATTGACCCAATTGACGCTCAGCTCAGCACTGGGAGGTGGGAGCTTCTGTCCTCTATCCCAGAGCTGAGGTTGCTACACGGCTGTGGAGCCTACAGTCCTGCCTCTAACCCTGTGACTGCCAGGCATTGCTATTCCCAGAGCTTGTGGGAGGGGTGGGGAGGTCACTGGCCTGGGTTCAGGGGTGTGTAGCAGTGCTGCCCTCACTCAGCAGGACCATGAATGTAGGTCTACATGTGAGCTAGGACACAGTTTTGTTTGTGTCTCTGTGTTTGGTATTTCAAGTGATAGCTTGGTAGTGTGAATTACTATGGGGAAAAGTGGCCATTGATGTGCTGCACCCCTCCTGGCTCAGCCGTGTCCCTCTTAGAGAAGCCTGGTACAGCAACTTGGCCTCTCAGGCTAGAGTCCTTCCAGATCACAAGCAGGAACTAAGGCTGTATATCCTTTCCTATAAAAGGGGGAGGTGTGTGCTGCAGGCAGAGCCCAGACACCTGCGTCCTTTGGTCTATTCCAGAGGCTTAGCTGCTCCTCCAGGGGCTGGCCCTTGGGAAAATGTGAGGTCCAGGCCCAGGTGCCGTCCCTGCGTCACTCTGGTATTGGGTGAGATGGGAGGACAAGGGACGGAGCTCCAGGATGGACATCTCTGAAAGCCTGGGAGGTAGGAAGTGGCGGCAGTTCTCCACCTCTCAGGTGGAAAATATTTGGAAAGCAGATCTTGAGCTTCCTTTGGCCTGTGCCACTAGAAAGGCTCTCCGGAGCCCCCTCCCCTCTTGCTCCAGCTCCTAGTCACCTGCTTCACAGGTAGCTTGGCAACAGGACCTTCCTGGAGGACATCAGTTCTACACTTGGGAGAAGCCCTTCCCAGAGCCTCAGACTCCCATGCCCCTCCTGTACTGGGTGTCCCATGCAGTCCTCTCCTCAAACATCCTGCTCTCAGGCAGCTGCCCAGTGCTGCTATGACAATAAACAAGTCTAAAGCCACGATGCCCCTCTGCCTCGCCCTTTTGTGAGCTTCCCCCACCCTTTGTTATTCTGCCTCCCTCCCAGCCAGTCTTCTCCATTCATCCCTACCTTCCTCTCCCTAATTTTTCTTACTGAAACTTTTTATCTGCTCCATTCCCAGAGAAAATTTGAAGTTTGCTTTCTCCCTTCATTTGAAAATAATATTTTATTGTACTCATGCTGTGTAACAGGCCCATAAACACTGCCTCATCACCAACAGACTAACCGTGCAGGCCAAGCATCGGGCCAAGGACCAGAACCATGACTTCAGCAGCTCCCACTGCCCCATAGGACACTGTTGCACACTGCCCCACAATGGCTAGGACAAAGGCTACAGAAATTTCATTCTTTCTGACTTGACCTCTCCTGTATCAGACCCACAGACCCCTCGTAGTAGGCCCGAGACTGTTGGAAATTACCCAGTCTAGGGATCTTTGAGGGACTAAGAATGAGATGAAGAAACTCTAAAAGTTGCCCTTTTCCTAAAACCCAGCTTACTGTTCAGTCACTGGCCCAGTGTGAGAAGAATGAGAAGCCTGGGCCATGGAGGGTGCACTGTGGGATGGTGTAGAGAGAAGGCTTCCAGAGGGCTTGCCTCCTGCTACGAAGAAGCTGAGGTATGTACAGCAAGGGCCTGGCTGGGCTCCAGGCCTGTCCCCCCCTGCCCCGCCCCTCTCCAACACACACTAGGTAGTGGGCAGCAATGGTGCCAATCAGTGGGGCTCCTGGGTCCCCAGAGAGGAAGACAGATGTGCACCTGCTGCTTCCCTCTCCCCAGCTTTCCTAGGTGATGAGCAGGGACACTTCACCTATTTTTTCTTTTTCTTTCCTTTTTTCTTTTTTTGGTTTTTTGAGACAGGGTTTCTCTGTAGTTTTGGAGCCTGTCCTGGAATTAGCTCTTGTAGACCAGGCTGGCCTCGAACTCACAGCGATCTGCCTGTCTCTGCCTCCTGAGTGCTAGGATTAAAGGCGTGCGCCACCACGTCCCGGCTTCACCTATTTTTTCAAAGCAAGAAGAGATGTATAAGTACAGAAAATAATTTAATAGAGAAACAACGAACTGCATTCTTTACATACACCCAGCCTCTGGCAAGGAGGATGCTCTACTTTGCCCTATGGAGACAGTTAAGGGCAGGATGATTAGAAATCACCAACATTCTGACTTTAGAAATAACCCCTGCTCCCCCCATACAAATAAACTCTCACTGCTTGTGATTTGGGGTTATTTGATGCAGAACAGCTCCCCTGTTCCTTATTCAAAATCAACCTCAACACAAAAATTTGAAACAAGATGATTGGGGGGGGCAATAAAAAGAAACCCTCCAATAATTCCAGGTATGTAAATTCATCTCCAGCTCACATAAGCTATAAACTGTGGAGGTATCCATGGCTTAACAAGACAAGAGAAGACCCTGGCCCAGTCAACCCCCCGCTCTAGCACAGGGCCCACTATACGGCTAAGGTGGCATGTTCCCCCTGAGGATCCCCTCCTCTATGCCAAGGCAGGGATAGTCCTGGAATTCTCACATGTACCCCACCTCTACAAAGGACATGACTTTCATGCATGAAGGATTGTCTTAAAGTACTGAAAAGGATGGCAGGCGTGTGCTCCCGGAAAGACTGGAGAGTTCTGCAGGGCTGATTGCATTCTGTAGGGCAGGTAGTCCCTGAGGGGTACTGGAGGGTCCTATTCCAGTGCAAGAAGGGAGCAGGGCTAGAAAAAAGGTTCCCAGGAAGGGTTGGCCCAGGTACAGCAGCTGCCTGGTAGCAGGGAAAGAAGAGAGGTGCCCTCAAGAGACATGATGTCCTCTTTGCAGAGCAGAATACAGTGTGATGATATCCTGAGGCCAACATCCCCTAATAACAATGTCATATTAAGGTAATCCTCAGTACACCTGGCCACCAGATCCCCAGGGGTGGAGAGTACTCAGATGAACACTGGGAACTAGGATGAGGGCATCTTGGAGGTGTTCATCCAGGGAGGCCTCAGGTGCACGGGTGTGAACCTGGGCTGGTAAACAGCTTCTCTCAGGCTTGTGTCCCATCCACTAGTTCTTCTGGTGTCATTGTAGTGTGCAAGCTGAGGGAGGGGAAAGGGAAACGTCAGGCTTGGGTCTGTGGCAAGGGAGGCAGGACCCTGTTATGGGCTGTCAGACCCCAGGGCACGACTCACAGCTACGGACAGACTCCGACAGTCCCTCTTTGTCCAGAGTCGCTGCGTCCCAGTGAGATTCCCTTATCTGTGGGACGTAAAGCATGGCAGGGGTAAGGCAAACAGCTAGACTCAGAAGCCACAGTGCACACACAACCACAGCCCACTGCCCAGTGTGGCTCATCCATGCCCACCTTGATCTGCTCTTTCAGGTATTCAGCTCGAGCCATGAGGTTCTGAACCTGCCAAGAGAAGGCACGCCCAGAAGTGAGCAGGCTTCAAATCAAGTACTTCTTCACCCTTGGTGCTCTCTGGAGTCCTCTGCCTTGTCTCTGATCCTCTACTTTGCTCCCTCCTTCAGGAAACCTGCCCTGCTGCAGGAGCCCAACAAACTTTTGGTTTACCCAGGCACCAAAGTCCTGGGTCACTGACTTCACTATTCTGAGGCCTGCACTCTGGTCTTGAAACACCCGAGAGCAGGGGAATTCCATATGTAGTCTAAAGAGGTCTCACAGACACAGCTGGGTAAAAGGAGAGGAAGACACTCTACTCCCACACCCACTGAGTACCTCAGTGTGAAGGAGTTCCCGCCTTCGGCCCTGGGCTTCTGCTGTAAAGAGAGCAAAGATGGTGAGGACAGGGCAGCCAGAGGCAGGGGCAGAAGCGGGCTGTGGCCTTACCTGCCAACAGCAGTAGCAGCTCCCCGAGGCTGTGCTGGTACAGGTCAAGGGCATCCTGCTCCTTGCCAGCTTCCTCCTACAGACAGAGGGACATCACATTATTCCATGTTGTGCCCTTGGTTTCCTTCCAACCCACCTGTGCCCCTCCCAAGGAAACAAACCTTGGCCATGGCAGCTGAGGCCACTTCCAGGGCAGCAAGGAGGCGAGGCTTGTCACGGGCCATCTCTGATGTGAGAGGAAAGGCTCACAGTGAAGGGAGCAGCCTGTTGTTTTCTCCACAGAAAGCCTACCTCAGTCTCCCTGTCAAGATGGAGTGGGGCTGCCAGGACTCGTGCATGGTCCAAGAACTGAAGCCTACCTCGCAGCAGGCCTTGGACAGATGTGCCCTGCCTTTGCAGGGCCTGGTTGGAGGAGGAGACGATGGCTTTGAGCTCCTCTGCCCGGGACACATACTGCCCCACCTGTAGGAGAATAAGGGGCTGAGGGCTGTCCCCTTAGCCAGCATCCACCTCCACATTTGCCTCTGGTCCTCAGTGACTGCCTCACACTAACCAGGTCAGACATCAAACACGCTAGCCTGATCTAATCCTTCCCCAGCCCTATCCTGTGACAGAGGAGGTTCCAAATCTGAGCGCCATCTGTCAGAGATTTGTGATCTTTGGGTCCTCTTCTTCCATGTCCATCCATTTCCTCCTGGGGAGATCACCCTACCTTGGCCTTAATGGCCTCCTTCCGCTGGGAATCCACTTCGTCTGTGGAAGGTGAAGGGTTCACATGAGGATTCTGCCTGGAAATCCCCGCCCACAGTCAGCCCTCTGCAATCCTCAGATACCAGCTCCAGGTTTATCGTCTGCATTGTCTCCCCTAAGGTCCTGAATGGGGAGCCTGACCCCACTCCTGCCCCTTCTGCACCCAGGTCATAGGAACGGTCTGGGCCTCACAGTGCAGGGCAGGTACAAAGAAGTCCAGAGCCTTGCAGTAGAGTGACAGCGCTGTGGCAGCGTCCCCCTCCTGGTCCTTCTTCACAGCCTCCACCACAAGGGCTGTCTAGAGGAGGGGAGAATCAGCGGTCAGACCTAACTTCCCAATGCCACACCTACCAGCACCAGTCAGAATCCCACCTGCCTTGTGGCTACCAGCTCAGCTTCTATGGGACAGTTCACCACCACAGTAGGTAAATGAGACCCAGCCCACCTCATCCCCATTGGTCTGCTTACTGCCCGCGCCAGGCTCTCCCCACTGGGCATGTGCTCCAGGTCCACCCAGGGGTGGGCAAAGAAGTCCTTGAAGGAGATCCGACGGCTGGGATCCCGTTCTAGAAGTCGCTGCAGCAGGTCACGGCAGTCTAGGGAGAGTTGGGGCCGAAGGGGGAGCTGCAGAGGAATATGGCAGGGACATATGACACTGAGTCCAAAGCCTGAGGCTTCTTAGGAACTCCCGTAAGGGGTACATATTTGGAGGTGGGCTATCTAAGACTTGAGGAGAACACGCAGGTGGTGACGAGCAGGAAGAGAGCCACACATCCTTTACCAGGCTCCTATCAAATGGGAATTTGCCACCAGCCCAGTTCTATGAGAAGACTGGACCTGGCTCCATCATGGCCTTTGCCCCATTGGTTGCCTGCTGCGGCTGACCTGGATCCTCAGGAATGGACCAGATCCAAGGCTTCCACTGTAGAGCATGTCCCACCACCATGAAAGGCCTGGAGCCTAGACTGCAGTCTGCACCAGAGGAATAAAAACCTAGGGCCTTGAATCCCTCAATCCCCAGCGGATGCCACGACCCTGCAAGACGCACCTCAATAACCCGATTGCTGCGAATCTTTTCTTCTAGCTCTGAGAACGATCTGGAAGCAAAAGGAGGTTGTCCAAAGAGGGCTTCTGTGGAAAAAGGCAGAGGTGAGGCTGGAAGAAAACAGGGTTAAGTTTTGCCTCGCTCATCCCTGGGAAGGGAACCAAAATCCCTTGGAGTAGAGCTCTGGGGTCTCCAGTTTTCATCAGAACCCAGAGAAGCCTTGCCCAAGTTCAGAGTAAGCAGGGTGGAGAGCAAGGGAACAAAGGTCTCACCATACAGGATGACCCCCACAGACCAGAGGTCCACACGAGCATCATACTGCCGCTGACACACCATCTCAGGAGCCATGTAGAGTGGGGAGCCACGCAGCACATGCTTCTCATCTCGTGGGGACATGTGCTGTGCAAAGCCAAAGTCTGCAGGCAAGAGGCCAGGCACAGTGCTCAAATCCCAGCTGCTACTGTAACTCTAATCAGAGCTCCTCCCCACCCTAGACTCACCGGGACTGCTCCTGTCTCCTCCCCTGTGCTATGATCCACAGCACTCAACCTAAGTCACTCTGGGGTGGAAACCCTCCTCGCGGCACATAGCCTTTTAAGCACCATCTTCCTAAGAAGCCCATCTCAAAACACCATGCGCACTGAAAGTCCTCCTGCCCCTCCTCCCAGGACTAAGCATGTTCTCTGGCCTCCAAACTCAAGTCCATTCTTTTTCAAATTGTATCAGAGGCCACGACCACCCTTCCAGGGCCATATTCTCCTCAGTGTCCAGACTGAGCCCTAATCCTTTTTTTTTTTAATATTTATTTATTTATTATGTATACAATATTCTGTCAGTGTATATGCCCGCAGGCCAGAAGAGGGCACAGATCTCATTACAGATGGTTGTGAGCCACCATGTGGTTGCTGGGAATTGAACTCAGGACCTTTGGAAGAGCAGGCAATGCTCCTAACCTCTGAGCCATCTCTCCAGCCCCTGAGCCCTAATCCTAATGACAGATTAAGTTGGGTCCCTACTCACAGACTGATCCTGGATGCTGGTCACACACTGGCATTATTGCCAGACTGAGCTCCATTTCTGACCCAGAGTGATCCCTAACTCCATCCACAGCACTGCAGGACTTAAGTGTGTGCTGCAGCCTGAGAACAGGCGCTACCTTTTAGTGACAGGCTCAAACCTGACCTACCACCAATGACTGAAGACAGGGACCCCAGGGGACAAGGATGCTGAGGAAGCCCAACAAGGAGCTCACGGTTCACCCACTCTACACCATCACCCTGCTGTTCCTGACTCAGACCTGCCAGTTTCAGATGGGGCTTCTCCAAAGAGCTCAGCAGAATGTTCTGGGGCTTCAGATCCAGATGAGAGATGTTTCGTTCATGCAGGAACTTCAGGGCACTAGCTGGGGAGCGGGCCCCATGAAAATTAGTCAGAGTCTAGTTCCCACCTGCCTCTCCCTGCCCCAGGCTTCCATTTACCCTCTTCCTGAGGCATTACAGTGGCTTTGTCCTGGCTAGACTGCAGGATACAAGGAAGCACCAGACTCCTGTCACTTTTTAAAGGCATGCACCGCCATCACCTGGAACTCCTGCCACTACTAAACACTTCCCCAAAGGCCTGCTCTTTGTACCCTTCATAAGACACCGCCCTCCCCGCTTCTAGGAGCCTCCTGAAAAGCCCAAGTCCTTTTGCATTCTTCCTCACTAAAGCACTTGGGTTCCACCTACTGGACCCTGGAAGAGTCTACAAGGTTCTTACATCATGTTCTACATGTGGAAGAACTCCCCACATACGGTAGGACACAGACATGGGAGACTGCGAAGCACTGGGGTGGGGGGAAGAGAACACAGGGCAGGCCGTTGGCTTTTACCCAGCTGTTGCATGAAAACACGAGCCACCTTCTCAGGTAGGATCCTGCGGGTGTGGATGAAGCGAGAGAGGTCACCCCCTGCACAGAACTCCATGATGAGGTAGATATTGTCATTGTCCCACTGTGGTTGGAAGTAAAGAGGCAGCTATAGGCAGTGTCCCTCCTCTAGCCTCCTTAGGAGGGAGCCCCGCCCCAGGCTCGCACCTGGAAGTCTTTCAGCTGCACAATATGGGGGTGCCGGATGCCCTTGAGGATCTCAATCTCAGTCAGGAGGTTTTCCACAGATGCCTTGTTGAGACTTTTCTTGGCCACGCATTTTATGGCTACCACCTCCCGAGTATCCTTCTGTAGGACAGGAAATTTGAGGTCTCTGTCTTGGGGGAACCTGCCCCATGGGCTAGAGAGGGCTCGGGGTCCCTCTGCAACCTTCCCCCTACCTGGGTCTATCCACTCTCCACTGGCCTCCAAGTTTCCCAGCTTCCCCTTCCCAAATCAATGAGGCACCCAGATTCTGGAATCCTGGCTTCCCAACCCAGCAAGTGTTCTCCAAATCCCTGTTTCTAACCTTCTGGAGCAGCCAAAAAAAAAAAAAAAAAAAAAAAAAAAAAAAAAAGTCAAGGTTGTTAGAACTGGCCACTCTGCTTTCTAACTGGTCCTGCCTCCCGGGAGTCTGGTCTCAGACTCCTCCCAGCCCCTAAGGCGACTTCCGTGCAGAGCCGGTTCCTCAGCCACTGACACCGAGGTTCCCTTACGTCTTCGCCCACCCTTCCAGAGCAAACCGGCGTGTGTTTGTTTTTAAACCTAAGAGGGGCGGCCAGTTCCAGCCTCTTCCACTCGCCAGGCGTCAGGCGTCCGCCTCTCTCCTGCTCCGGCAGGCCGATCACCCAGCAGCACTTGGTCGGGGCTGGCGGGCACAGGAGCCAGGTAGGTGCCCGGCGCCGGGACACCTCGGGCACAGCCCGCCCACACCCACCTTGGCGTAGGCCTTGTACACGGTGGCGTACGTGCCACTGCCCAGGCGCTCGGTAAAGATGAAACCGTCCAGCCGAGGAAGACCCCAGCAGGGCCCAGCCATACCGCGCCCGCCGCCAGGTGCTTCCTGGTTCGGGGCGCAGGTTCCGGCCAGAGGCGAAGTCGGGGGCGCTCGAGGGGCGGCGGGGCGGGACTCCGCACAGCCCCAGCGCAGCCCGCCGGAAGCGCAGCTCGACGCCTCCCCTCCGAAGCTCCGCCCAGCCTGCCGCGGGCTGGGTGACACCTTCTGCCACGGACTGCCAGGCCGGTTTTTAGACACTGGGGCTTAGTGGGCGAAGCGGAAGTGGGTCGAGTACTGAGGACACTATCACGTGGAAAAGCCTCTCTCAGCACACAGCATCCTAGAGACCACCCGCGTTGGGGGCGGGAGGAAGACCCTGGCCGTCTGCCCTCCACGACCAGAAGCAGTGGGACGAGATCCCTGGGCCGCCGTGGGTGAAGGAGGACCCCAGCAAGTTCTCTGATCCACTACAAGCGCTCTGGCACGCACACAACACACACAATAGAATATTAAAAACTGGTTTTTATATACGCATCCTCCTGAATATTAACCTTCATCAGGTGATGAAAGGAGACAGAGACCCACATTGGAGCACCCGACTGAAATCTCAAGGTCCAAATCAGGAGCAGAAGGAGAGAGCACGAGAAAGGAACTCAGGACCGCGAGGGGTGCACCCACACACTGAGACAATGGGGATGTTCTATCGGGAACCTACTAAGGCCAGCTGGCCTGGGTCTGAAAAAGCATGGGATAAAACCGGACTTGCTGAACATAGCGGACAATGAGGACTACTGAGAACTCAAGAACAATGGCAATGGGTTTTTGATCCTACTGCATGTACTGGCTTTGGGGGAGTCTAGGCAGTTTGGAAGCTCACCTTACTAGACCTGGATGGAGGTGGGTGGTCCTTGGACTTCCCACAGGTCAGGGAACCCTGATTACTCTTTGAGCTGATGAGGGAGGGGGACTTGATGGGGGAGGGGGAGGGAAATGGGAGGTGGTGGCGGGGAGGCAGAAATCTTTAATAAATTAATTAATTAAAAAAATAAAATAAGGGGGCTGGAGAGATGGCTCAGTGGTTAAGAGTATTGCCTGCTATTCCAAAGGTCCTGAGTTCAATTCCCAGCAACCACATGGTGGCTCACAACCATCTGTAATGAGGTCTGATGCCCTCTTCTGGCCTGCAGACATAAAGACAGAATATTGTATGAATAATAAATAAATAAAATAAAAAAAAAAAATAAGGGACTGGAGAGATGGCTCAGAGGTTAAGAGCATTGCCTGCTCTTCCAAAGGTCCTGAGTTCAATTCCCAGCAACCACATGGTGGCTCACAACCATCTATAATTGGGTCTGGTGCCCTCTTCTGGCCTGCAGGTATACACACAGACAGAATATTGTGTACATAATAAATAAATAAATATTTAAAAAAAATAAAAAAATAAAAACTGGTTTTTGAGACAGCGTTTCTCTGTGTAACTCTGGCTGTCCTGTAACTCACAGGTTGGCCTTGAATGCAAGAGATCTGCCTGCCTCTGCCTTCCCAGTGGCTGGGACTAAAATGTGTGCCACCATGCCTGGCTAAAAATAATTTTTTAAAAATGTCTTTGGAAGAAGTCAAGTTGCCATTGCCAAGGTCCTCCCTCATGCCTTTCAGTGTTGGAGGGCGTTCCTCCTCAGAGCTGAGTGGCTTGACAATCTCTCAGTCCAGCTGCCAAGGATCTCAAATTGTCACCTCACCTATCTTCGTGGGTCCTCAGCCCAAACTTTCAGTAAGCCACAGCCCTCCCAAGTCCACCAGAGATATCAGAAACAGTGCTGTCCGAAAATCTTATTTTTATTTAAGCACAAAAATTGAGACATGACATATACATTTGTACATGGAGGAAAATACCAGAAAGTTTACAAAACCCTGGTGGCTGTCATTACCATTCAATGGCTCTAGGGATAAATGGCTGACAGTATGAGGGTAGCCTCAGGAGGGCCCCAGTTCCCAGAGGCAGGAGGCTGGCCATCTTGGTGAACTCCTGCATCACTGACACAAGGTCAGGTTTCAACAGTGATCTAAGTGTCACTGTAGTGACACAGCTGTGGAGTCCCCAGGACAAGTGGAGATCCCTCAGAAGGATGGCTCAGCAGTCCTGCCTGCAGGACATAGTTCTGGGCTAACTTCCTCCAGCAGCCCTAAGAGTTGTAAGAGGTGAGTATTGCTGAAAATGGGGCAGGAATAAGGCTAAGGCAGAGGGGCAGAGTTCCTCAGGAGGTCAGAAGCCAAAACAAACAGGTCAGATGACATCTACCCTCTCAGAAGACTGCCAGAGGCTGGGTAGGACAACTTGAATGACTGTCTTCAGTCCCTCCCAAGTCCCAAGCAACTCCACTCAGAAGTCTGAGAAGAGCTAGTGAGGGCCCCCAGAGGGCACAAGGTGCTATTACACCATGGGACAGCATAGAGGGTCACGACTATTGTGAGGAACACCTGGAGACAATCTGAGGAGCACCTGTGCCCCTGCCCAGACCACAGCTCACCTAAAGTGGAGCCCTGGGCAGGCTTATGAAGCCTAAGCACGAAAGGTGAGACTGTGAAGGCCCCAATATAGGTCAAGCCGGCAGAGGGAAGAAGAGTCCAGGGTGTCTGGGAAATTCCTAGTGCAGTGAGCCCAGGGTTGCCAATGATCCCGTGTGGGGGCATGAACACGCATGCACATGAGTGAATTTGTTTCCAGGGGAAGCAGTCCCACTGCTTCCAGACAAAATCCACCGTCAGAAAAGAGAAGACAGCTTTGTTATTTTTTCTTTTCCCTTGTCCCTGTCCCTTCCTCCCCTTCCCTTATGGGGAAGAGAAAGCTGACTACTGAGGAAGGAACAGGGACAAGACAAAATCCCTGCCAGGTCTGTGCTGGGCAGAACCACTGTGTAAGGCACCCACGGAAAGTGCAGCTCAGAAGGCAGGTGACAGAGAGGCTGGGGTGAGGGAAGGAGAGTGGGGAAGACTAATTCCCCTGGAAGGTTCCTCGGGCAGCAGATGAGGCAGCGCTGCGGAAGGTTCTGTTGCTGAAGATGCCCTGGGAAAACTCTTCCTGAGCCTGCTGGAAGCTGGCTCCTGTTCGGCGGTAGAAGGCATGCACCTAGGAAACAAGGCTGGGGTGAGAAGAGCCCAGAGCAATCCTAGCTGTCAGGGTATTCTCCCAAAGGGGCCCCCAAGTGTTTAACCCTGCCTGCCTGACTGCCCACCCGAGTCTTGGACAAAGGTGTTGGGTTCCTTAGGACTTTAGGGACAAGGAATATTTAGATGTCCACCCAGGAGAGATACCTTTTATTTGTGTTTGCTGTTGGCTCATACCCTACTTACCCGCTGCAGGAGGAAAAGTGAGAGCCCAGCACAGAGGGTAAAGAAGCCAGCCACTACCATCATGATGATGGACACAGGTAAGTGCCCACCTTGCAGGGTAGACAGGGCTGCGAGCCAACCACTATGAAAGGAGAAACCAGGGGTGAGGTAAAACTGAGACTTGGAAGTCCCCAAGAGGAGCACTTCTCCCAAACGGCTGTCTTGGTCACCACCTGGGCATCTCCCTGCAGCACAGGGAGCCTTGTGGTTCAGTGACCTTCCTCTGTGACTGGGATGTGAGCGCTGATAGTGTGAGCCCACACTGCTCCAACATGACCTCTCCTGAAGTCTCAGAGGTGGAGTCACATGGAAATCTTCTGCCCCAGTGAGGTCTAGGAAGGAGATGTGACAACTGCCTTGTCAGGATCAACCAAAGGCTCAATGTGTGCTGCAGACTGAGGGTGGGGACGAAGAAGGCACTGGTTCTGCACAGAGGAATCTGGGACAAGGACACTGACCAGCTGTTTACCTTGTCACCTCAGCTTCCCCCATCAGGACTCTGCTTCTCGTAGTTAGGTCATTCTCACAGCCTCAGGGTCCTTAGCTATAAAGGGCTTATTCTCATGCTGCCTGACTTCAAAACTTACAACATAGCCACCGTAATAAAAACAGCGAGGGAACAGCATGAAGACAGAGCAATGCCATAGGTTTCAGAGTCCAGATACACCTGTTTTTTTAAATTTTATTGAGTTTTATTAAGCTCTACATTTTTCTCTGTTCCCTTCCCTGCCTCTCCCCTCCCCTTCAACCCTCTCCCAAGGTCCCCATGCTCCCAATTTACTCAGGAGATCTTATCTTTTTCTACTTCCCATGTAGATTAGATCTATGTCTGTCTCCCTTAGGGCCCTCATTGTTGTCTAGGTTCTCTGGGAATAGAGAGATTTTTAAAGTTACTTATTTTTATCTTTTCTGTGCATTGTTGTGTCTGTGTGAGGATGTCAGATCCTCTAAAACTGGAGTTACAGACCGTTGTTAGCTGCCACGTGGCTGCTAGGAATTAGCCAGGTCCTCTGGAAGAGCAGTTAGTGCTACTAACCACTGAGCCATCTCTCCAGCCCCAGTCTACTTTTTTTTTCTTTTAAATAAGGGTCCTAAAACCAAAGGGGACAGTGAGATGGTTGGGTGGGCAAAGGTACGTAGTATATTAAAGCTGAGTGCTGTGGCTTATACCTGTAATCTTAGCAATTGGGAGGCAGAGGCAGCAAGATCAGCAGCCTTGTATAGGAGAACTCAGTTGGTAAAGTGCTTACAGCATAAGCATTAAGACTTGAGTTTAGAACCTCAGACCCCATATAAAAAAGCCTATGCTTATCATCCCAGCCAGCACTGGAAAGGCAGAGACAGGCTCAGAATGCTAGTGTGGCCAGCACTTGCCTCACACTCTGGACGTCCTAACTGCTGCAGGGAGGGGATCAAAATAGTGCCACCCTTCCAGGCTCAAGCTCTCAGCCTCATGTCAAGTTGACATTTTTGCAATGTTCCCTGTGCACTGGGGTAGAAAGGAAAACGTCAGCCATCAGCTTTTCTTTTGGAAATTAATTCTGAGCTAAGACGCAGTTAGCCAGGAAACTCAAACCAGCTACATGTTCCAGAATGGCAAGATACCTCTCCAAGGAGGCAGGCCCCATCTCCTGCAGTCACAAGGCCTTGAGAGAAGAAGTAAGATGGGAGCTGAAGATGTTGCTCTACTGGTAGAGGGCCTGCCTAGCATGCACGAGGCCCTGGATTCCATTTTAAGTGCTACATAAGAAACAAAACCAGAAAAAAATGAAACCAAAACCAAACCAAAACACACACACACACAAAAACCAGGTACAGCTTAGA